TTTGTATTAAAAAAAAAATCTTCTAAAATTACAGATCTTTCCACTTTCAACAGTTTTATTAACATTTAAAACTAATGCAAAAGTTAGAACAATTCTAAAACTTATCTTTTAACCACATTTTTCATAAACTATTTCCGTATTATCCTGGATTCCGAAGGATCTAAAATTCATAAAAATTATTATTGAATCTTATAAATTATTCTAGCTTTATTTTAAAGTTTAGAAATTTTCATAGTTAAAAATATATTTAAAGTTCTTTTAACATAATTCTGTAAAACATTTCCATTAAAAAATCCTTTATTTATTTATATTTTTCATATATAATGCGCTTAAAATATTTATTTATAATCCAGTTAATTGGTTAAATTAATCTTTTAAGAAGGCAGAATAATTTCTAATTTAAAATATTTAATGCCTTGCTTTATTAATTTTGGTTACAAAATTAATATTAGATAATTACAAGTTTTAAATTAGAATTTATTTTTCGAATATTTCATAAATTATGTGTTCAAAATTTAAAGATATAATTTATGAAAGTTCTTAGGGCACAATTTGTGAGTGGGTTCTAATTTTTTATTATTATTATTTTTTTCAATAAAGCATACCTAATTCTGAGTCATTAAAATTCTTAGCTTCTACAAAACTTGAGCATCTTCTTTAGTAGACTTCTTTGCAATATTATATTGTCTTGCGGGAAAGATCAAAGCGATTGTTCGCCAAGAAAAATTATGATGATAATAGCTTACGTTATAACAAAAATAATTTAAATAATAATTTATATTTTAGCATTTTCACTAATTTTCTGATAAATTTTTCAATGCCGATTCATTCGAATAATTATATTTTATATTAATTTTAATTTATTATTAAAATATTTCGTTTATTCGTTTATTAAATTTAAGTCTTAATTTTTATCAATTCTTTTTTTAACTTTAGAAATTAAATAGGTAATTAATTAAATTTTTTTAGCAAAATTTAATTTTAACACGAATTAAATTTAAAATTTATGCGATTTTCTAAATATGTTTTATAAATTTTAAGTGCAATTAATTCGAGTTAAATTTAAACTTACAGATATTTTATTTTCCTATATTAGTTACTATTTATGTTTGAAGTTTAGCTTATTTTTGTAAGAAAAGAAGCCTAAAATTTTAAAATATTTTAAACAAATTTTTATTAATAAACACGACGAGAAATCTTTTAGCAGAATCCTTTTTAGCGTAGAAAAAAGAAGATATCTTTCGTTGATACTCAGCTAGATAATATTTATTTTTGTTTTAGTAATCAGCATCTACTTCCTGAGAAGTTAGTATCTTTTTATATCACTAGAAAAGGCTTAGTAAACAGCAGATAAGTCTAGAGATGGTTAAACTAATTGAAGATCATCTCTTGTCATAGAAGCACGTCCTAGATACTTTTCTGTGCTCGTCTGAGTAACCAGAGATGTTTCTGGCCGTCTCCACTGCTTGTTATCATGCTGGGTATCTCTTCTTGTAATCTCCCTGCACCTGTTTCTAGACTTCTTTAGTTACTAGTGTTATACGATTAAATATAAGACGATAATGATGTAAACTGCATACATCCATGGAACGAATTACACTTAACTACCATGCAATGCAATATTTTCAGACAATGAAATATAGACTAATGACTTACTCCGATAATCAAGCAGATAAGTTTAACTTCAGTGTATTAGTTAGGTAAAAACAGAATTTTTAATCGCTTCGTTAACCAAGTGTATCGACTATTTAGTTACATTATTAATTTTCTTGATTACCTTTTAAAATATTAGTTCTATTTACTTAAAGACTAATTTTCTTTCTCGAATTAAATGCACAGATGATAAGAAAATAACAGAAAAACTCACGTTATATCATCAAAAGTTGCGTGAAGGACCACACCGAGTCCTGTAAAGAGATTAAAGTAAAGGCATAACAAATTTTAATGGTCGGCTGAAGACAATAGAGCACTGGCCATTACTCTGTCGGCGTGTGAAACAATCCAGAAGATAATTAAGGCATTGTGAGAAATGAAAATATTCACATGAGTCTAAAAAGCACCTGTCTTGATAATCTGTTAGGCTAAGTTAAATTAGCCTTTTATTACGAGGTGTAAAGGAGTAAATTCTATATCAAATACATAAATTAAGCGTTTCATAGTCTGTAGATTGTCATAAAAACGTGTTATTTTAAGAAAAAAGTACTTCGTAAAGTAAAAATTAAGTTTTTTATACGGAAAGTCTGGTTATTATATTCATTGTATATCTATAAATTATAAAACAAAAACCGTAATCAAGTCTACATTTTTAAGAGAATTATAATAATTAAATAGGCCTAGAATAGTCCATTATATTATGTTAGGCATTTTTAATAAGCCTATTTTTGATTTTATAAAAATTGTTAACTTGTTTTTAACAAAATAAAATAAGTAATTTAGTACGTATTGATTTACTTTTTAATGACTTTAAGTGAAGCTAGAAGACTTCTAAAGATTGACTATTACAGTATGTCCGAAGGACAAAATGAAGCGTTAAATTAACATATGAAGTAATTATTATAAAAATCTTATTAGTTTTTATATGATTACATCACCGGAAGATTCAATTATTTACATATGGTAACCGAATGCTAAAGTTTCGCTCGATTTGTTACAGAATTCTGAACTTTAACCTCTGTTAATACAAGCAGTCAGTGCCGACAAAGTGGTCCTACACTTATCGGCTGTCTTGTGAACAGCTTCCAATCAGGAGAAGACAAATTCTCATTACAGACAGATGTGGTCCTCCATACAGTAAAGCATCCACCGTGAAGACTGTCTGCCTCCATGTCAGAAAAGACAAGCTAAAAATCACAAATGTTTCTTTTACTAATTACTGAAGACTCATTATCAATAAGAATTATCTAAAGGAAAATTCGTCCATTTCAGGGAAAAAATCTGAAATTATTTCTCACTTTAAATAAATAATTTATTTAATAATTATTAAATAGATGATTTTTTTTACAATTTCATAAGATTTCAAAGTTATAATTTCTTGGAATAGCATAAATATATTTTTTTTAATTTTTAAAAGTGTAATGATCTTTGTAAATTTTATAGTTGTTTATTGTAAAGATATATAGCCTATATTTAAGTGTTAGCAAATAAATATTATAAGCTTAATAGACCAATTTTTTGATTAAATGTGCCATACAAATTAACATTGTACTTATTAATGTAGCATATCATTTTTAATTATACACCTGTACGCTTAAAATATATAGGCCTTGTAAACTTATTTATTAAATCATAAACTGTCAGCAAATTTATTAAATATAAATTGTCAGAGTTTTAACTAAATCGAATGATTTAGTAGAATTTGAGATGTCTAAACTTTAACTGAATTTGAGTTTGGATTTTAAATTTTAACTTAAAATTAAAAGTCCAATCTTGTGTTATAATATTATAGATTCTGAGGTTTAAAAATGTTAGTTTTGAAAATTATAATTTTATTTAAATTATAATTTTAAATGTAATACTGATGTCCACTGATAACTGTAATATAACTTAATAACAATTTTAATTTACACTTATAAATTTATAGGTCTTAACGAAAAGTAAACTTTAAAATAAAATTACCTAGACAACAATCTTGTTAATATTTAAAAATAAATAAAAATAACATTGCAAATGATGTGAATTTTGATAGAATTATTAATAATGCCAAATTTCCATTCTGTAGTAGGTCTACTATTTTCTCTTTAATCATTCATCTAGTTATCAATCAACATGTCACCCAATTAGTCTACTGTTCAGAAACATGTATTGTAACCACACAGGAAATGCTAGTTTAGGCCTCTTGAAAAATTTTCACAAATTGTCAAGTAGAAAAAACCCGAATTGTATTTGAGATAGAATACGAGTGGGTCTTTTATAAAAGAACAACAATGAAGTTATCGGCTGAAAGTGTATATATTAAGTAGGAGCGAGTCTATACAGAATACAACTCCTCTACGATATAAAGTCTTTATTGACTGCGCTGACAAAGTATTGTGAGTAGGAACAAGCGACTTTCTGTTACACTCCATAACTTACCAGTTGGCCAATCTTTTGTATACGAGAGGAAAGTTGCCTCAGTCGTCTGACTATTGTGGTTCGAGTTTAGAGTGACGTTATTAAGGGCTCAATGAGCCGTACCGTGTTAAGGGGAGCGGATACAAAGCCACTAGACGAACCATTGACTGGACGATGCCTTTCCATCAATCACAAAAACCTTCAACGCCGTTTTTGTTCTCTCGTAACTCACCTGCCGTTGATTCTTTATGTTTTCCTCCATTTCTATTCCTTAGTAAAATGTTTTCGTGTAAATAATTAAAAATTTATCTTTAAGATTAATTATATTATATGATTGATAATCGAATTATTTTTATATATAATTAAATTTTGTTAATATATTCATTAACTAATGACTATTTTTAAAATTATTCCTTATAGCATCTCAATTATTATATTAATTATTTAAAAATAAAATTTATGTTATTTCACATTTTAAATAACGAAAGAAAGAAATTTTAACGTAGGCCTACGTAATAACAAAAACGGAAATATTTTTTTCGTAAATTAATTTTAATTTATTAATATTTGCAATTAAAAAACAAACAAATGTAATCGTTAGCAATTTATATAAATTTTATATATTATATTTTAAATTTATTATAAAGAAAACAAATCAGTTAGCAGGTATTGTCGATACAGTTTAATCATTAATCTCTACATTTTGTGAATTAATTTGTCGAGTTGCAAATTCTTTCTGCCATTGGTAGTATAAAAAAGAGAAAGCAAAACGAACCAATGAGACATCATACTTCACTTTGTATCCGTCCATTGGGACGTCTCTAGATCACCACATGAATTCCATGGCAAGACGAATAAGCTCCTCCTCCTTTCGTCGGCTCGTTTGTTACGTACGCCAATCATAGTCAGAGGCCCTGGATTGGTCCGCCTTTCAGCTTGTTGACTTCAAGCCGTCTAGTTACTCTCACTGCTGTGGCTGCACCTTCAGCCGGCTGAACATAGTAGCCTGGTGGACTAAGTGCTGACATCTCAGAAACTACACCATATTTGTCAGACACAGTTTGTCACCAAATCCTAACGACTGTGTGGCCTAGGCCTGCCAAAAGGCCAGGCCTACATTTATATACGGAATAATTAAGTGTTATTTTTAATCATGTCTTCGTCAACTGCTGATTCGGACTGTCTCTCTCCGGACGACGTTTCGGCCATGTCGCCTTGTCAAGTGAGTAAAGAAGATAGAGAAAGCCTTAGTTCTATAGAAGCGGTAGAAGAACTTTCTGAAGACGAATATTTTAAACCGATAAAAAAATTGAGAATGGTGCCAAATCCGGTACCGAATCAACCTAAACCTTTGACATCTTTTCTCATCAAGGACATTTTGAATCATAAAGCAACACATAGGAGAACTACGAATGTTACGGACAAGGGAATCGTCCGGCCTTGGGATTTGGACAACAGTACCGTTTCTGGCAGACGGCCCAGATCGGCAGATGAGGACTCAAGATCTGAAAGATCCGAAAGTGATTCTCCCGAGAGTCCATCCGTTTCAAACGCAAATACCTCTCCTCTAGATGCACTATTTGAGATGACAAGCAAAGCGTTCGAAGGTCTGGAGGCTAACGAGAAGAATTCCGGTTAGTTCTGTTTTCTTTTAATAATGACAATAGGATTAAGTCGTCTGATAGGCAATCCTTAACCCGGGGGCCTTTTACCTATTTATCAGTAGCACTTTTAAATGATTAATTAGTTCAATATTCTTGAACAGTAGGCATGTAAGTTAACTAGTAAAGCTAGAAAGTTAACTTGTAGCTGTAATTTAAAGGTCCCAATGAATTTAACAAGCGCTAAATGTTTTACAAGATTTTTAATAGATGTAAGACATAGTCATATGGTAGATTTGATTTATGATCATTCTGCGTAGAAGAAAAAAGAGGAGTGTTTAAAGAGCAATAGAAAGTGAAATCATGAGAACACTCAATGATTGATTGTTGACAGTAGATATGTTCTTGTCAACAGAGTACAACTTTTCTTTTCTGTTGTAATCAATATCCACTGTTAAAATTTACTTTAGCATGCGAAATGTTTCTAACAAGTAAAATCGTCATATTTTGTTAACACAAAATGCTATAAATTATTTCAAAAATCCGTGTGACTATACTAAAGAGGATAGATACACTACAACAAACAGAATTCGATTTGTATTTGAATAACCTAGGCCTACATGCATTTATGTAATGTTTACGTCAATTTATATTATCGGTCACGGCATATTGTAATTTAATTCTAGATATTACACTAAAATCTTTTAAATCTATAATGTATACCCTATATTATGAAAGAAAAGAATATGAAATAAACAAAGTTTAGACAAAATACATAGGCCTAAATTTTAGGTTATTAAGGAGGGTTTTTATCAATAAAAGAAATGTTTTTACACGGTTTATTTGTTTTAATAATATTTTAAATTAAGATGAAGTTTGGTTTTATTTAACAAATTATTTTTAAATATATTACAATTTGGTTAGATATAAAAAAACTAGACTTAGTTTAGATTCATTGATTAATTTAGTCTAAAAGTTAATTGGATCACCTTATTTATATAATATAACCAAGTTTTTATTTGTGTCTAATTAGCACTCCAAATTATAAATCTAATTGGTTGATGAATATTCAATGTGTAACATTATAGCCTACGTAGGCCTGTATGCGCTTAACATTTTATAAACCATTCACACACTAAAAACATTATATGTTCAAATTATAATATAGAATTTCAGGATGCAACATTAAAGAAATCAGTTTTAATAAATTTAGTAAGTTGTATCCAGTTAAATAAAAATAATTAATTACTTTAAGTTTATCAAATAAAAAATAATTAATACTATTTTTTATTTAAAAAGAAATTATAGCTATAAAATTTATATATAAGAATTTTTTATTTTAACAATTAAAATTACTTTATATTATGTAAAAGGAAACATACAGACACGTGCACTTATGCCTAAATTAATAATAATCTACATTAAAGAATTTTAATTTTTGAATAGGTTATGTAATATTAAATATGCTTGACTCATTCGTTAGCTAAATAAAGTTTCAAAAAATAATATAAAGCATGTATGAATTTTTTTTAAAATTAAGTTATTTGATTTTTTGAAAATATTTCTCTGCATTTTAAATAAGTATATAGGTTATCTTATGGATTTAAATAAAATAAAGAATTACCGTAATCACAAATAGCTAAGTTAGATATCATTGATGAATTTGGTTCATTGTCAATCGCCTATTCTAATTTTCAAAGTAGATCAGTACTTCAGAATTGATTAAAGAATATATAGTTTTATTTTTAATTTACAAAAATAAAGTCGAATTTGTCACCGATTTATTTATTTAATTAAAATGAAAATATAAACTGAAGATCAGAAGAATAGTAACTAGGTGATAAACTAGCATATTTCTTAAATCAGAATTGGAAGTTGAAAAATAAATATTTCAAATCTAGATGAAGGTTAAGGCCTAGAATAATGTAAGATCTGAAACATGGAGTAAACACTAAACTAAAATAATATTTTTATTCAGAAATAATTCTAGGTATTCATAACTAATCATCTTTTAAATTGTAGTTTGGTTAAAGTATAATAATTATTAAATTGTTAACTAAATTATAGCTTAACAGATTTTTATTTCAGATACATATACATTGCTATTTTATATAAGAAATATTATTAAATATACTTTACATATTTAACATTATCATAAAATATAGCCTAAGGCTTATTTCTAAAATTAAAATTAAGATATAATGAGTACTTTTGATACAATAAACGGATCATTTCCATAGACAAATATATAGCAAAATAACAGTCTGTAGTTATTTATAAGTTAATATTAAGCGTGATAATCGTTAAAACGGAATAATTATTGAATCGATAAAGTTATTAGTATCAAATAGTCGAAAGAATAATTGTATCAGAAAAAGCCTAGTTGGAATCTATTTATCACTATTTTCTCCTTATGAAAGGCTAGCAATCTTCTTATTTTCGATAGCAACAACATCTTTAAATCATTCTTCTATCAACTATTACTTTGACGTTCGTCTCCACATGAAAAATGAATAGTACGACTTTATAGAAATATCATAATTCATTTTCACATTTCCTTATACACGAAGCTAATATAAAATAAGACGTAGGAAATTTTCGCAGTTATTAATGGCCCAAGAAGGATTGTATGTAGCTGGTTCATATTTCATGGTGACATCAAATGCCTTTGGGTCACACTAAACATCCATTTGAATCGGATATTTTCCAAATGCTGATCGACAAATGTTCGACTTCAATTATAGGTGTCTGCAATCGTGCCTATTTTTCTGCCTCTTCAAAGTTCCTAATATTTAGCTTGTGTCTATCATTTCGAAATGCTTAAATGTAATTAAGTAATATTAATAAATAAAACGTTCGATTTTAAATCTTTTTTATGTATCATATTTATCTTAACGAGGTTCATAATTGACCATCTGACTGACTATACCTCATAATAAAGTTACTTAGAAAATTGCTTTATAAAGCTTCATTTCAAAAAAAAAAGAAAAGAAAAAAAAGAAAAAAATGAGTGAGTTAAATAATTTTGAAAATTTTTTAGTAAAACTATTAAATATGTAAAGAAGTTAATAACAACCATGTACCGCAGGACTAAATAACAATATTTTTCATGAAGATAAGTTGTACTAAACCATTAGGGCCGTTCAATCAAGTTAGGCTGTTCTAGGCCGTAGGGCCTATTCGATGAATATATTTTGTGCTAGGCTAATGGACCTATGCAGTAAAATAGACTAAAGCGTAGGATCTGTTCGATACTGATGGACAGCATTAGACCATAAGAAAGTTCAGTGAAAAATATATTAGGCCATTGGCTTTTCAATGTAGATATGTTGTAATAAGCCAAGAGCTTGTTTAAATGAACTTAAATTCTGATAAATTTTTTAATCTATTTTATATAAGTTACCATAAGATAATTTTCGGCATCTAATTTTAACTTAAACTAAGAATTTATTACAAAATAAAGAAAGATTTCAGTACACTATAAACACTTTATAAACAAAAATCTGAATAAAGTTTAATTTGATTAGTATATTTCTATTCTTTAATGCGATTTAATCTTCAAATTTAAAACAACTTTAGTGCCCTATAGGCTTTTAGAAAAGATCATTTAACACAATCTTTATTACGGGGGTTAACATATAGCCTAGGCCTACTACAGAAATAATTCAATTTTTTATGTAAAAATTTATATTAATCTTAGGGACCTATATTTCCAGCAATCATTAAACATCTGCAAGCCTATCGGCTAAACTTTTAATGATAACTTCGTGAATTTATAATATTTGAAATGCAAAGTATATAGGCCTAAGCTGTTTTTTATTTAGATCTACAAAATATTTCTTTTTAATGTTTGATACATGGGCGTAAACAAAATCAATCTAGGCCTACATATAGTTCAATATTAGCTTTCAAGTCTATGTTTAAGGAATTTCCGAATCAAAAACTAAGCCGCCTGTAGAAAAACTAAATATTCTATCACACAAATCTTAAATATAACTATAGAAGAATTTATGCTGTTGATTAATAATCAACAATCATCACTCAAACATTTTATTTTTTATAATACCAGATACAAATGAGTAATTTTAGACAATGCTTGGAATTTAGGCATAATTCTGTTCTAAATGTAAGTAAAAACGTAACGCTACTAGGTCTACTTTGACCAATAAAGTATTTTGTTTATTGGGAAATGTTTTTTTCTTTCTTGAATTTGAAAAATTTAATACAAACAAATATCAAATTAAGCAACTGATACATAAAACTTACTTTGCTAGTTAATGATCCAAGCCTAAGCTTTCATGATTCATGTTACTTTATATGAAAGCTTACGGACTCATCTTACATTTCGGCATCATTAAAGATTTTAGACTATGTCAACTGTGTCTAATGAATGTCGAAATAACTAAGATTATTTTTTTTATAAAGTTATTAGGCCTATAATACTATATTATTCTATAGGAAAAAAAAGTAATTTATATAATTATATAACGTGGTTAATGGCATAAAATAATGTGATTATTATTTTCATTCATTGGAATTTTATTGAGGAATTTTTAAATCCCTAAGCTCAAAATGTCTATTCATCGATCAAATTTGATGCGTGACTAATGGATATCATGATGATCGCACACTAATAAAATATTTACTATCAAATGAAGCTGTACAATGATTATTGTAAGAATAGATGTCTGAAAAAAAATAATCGGAAATTGTGAAGTTGATTTTATAAAAATCGGTTCAAAGACATAAAAGTATGGCACTAATAGTTCTCACATCCTTAAATCAGATCATAAACTAAATTTACTAAAGATTCATTATATCTTGTAGGCTGTTAAAGAGAACTTAACTACTTAAATGACCTAAATTAATCTGATGCTCGGGATCAATAAATTCAAATTTTTCAAATTCCTAGAATTTGAATCGGAGTTTGAATTTAGTTCTGAAAGATTTTAAAACTTAAGTAAATAATTCACATAAATTTAACAGATTTATTTTAAAAATAAATTAGAATTTTACAATAAATTAGTTAAATC